AGAAAACCCGAGAGAGTGTTGGTTAACACTCGATGGTATTTTTCGGGTAAGCAGCCAAGCTTCCACTTCCTTTTTCTTTAAATGTGAGTCGATTTGATTAGACATTACCACACTTTTTTTAATGTGATCACTGGCGAATAACCGTTTTTTCTGAAAGACACGTGTTGATTTTATTTATTATTTCATTTGACAGTCACCACTTCATGTTCCAGCAGAAATTTTTTCAACTATCTGGATAAAATTATACTTTGTGTCCCTATGCCTGGCCTAACGTGATTGCATTTCTCCAAAAATTATGTCACATGTGCTATTGGTGTTGTGTATACTTCATATGATAAGTGTGGGTGCTAGTGGGGGGGGGGGGGGACCACGCGGTGGCGGACGTCTCTCAAGCGCTATGGCACTGAATCAAAGGAAAGGCTCCCAGGTCGCCATGGCCATTCAAGAAGAGATGTATACGCCTAGATGTGCCTTCGAACGCTGATCTCAAATCTACCTTCCAAATCTGCTAAACGATTTTCTGAACGGAGTTATGAAGCAAAACAGCGCAACGGTAGTGGTCGGGACTTGCAGTCAAAATGTCGTGGGATCGACCCTTGTCGTGTTCTGTCTTGCTTTTTTATGAAATCAAATGGGACGGCTTTTAAAATTACTTTGCTTGGTATTACTGAATAAAGCAAAACAGTCAAAACGATAGGGGCCGATCCTACGACGTTTTGACTGTGAGTCCCGACCACTACCGTTGCGCTGTTTTGCTTCATAACTCCGTTCAGAGAATCGTTTAGCAGATTTGGAAGGTAGATTTGAGATCAGCGTTCGAAGGCACATCTAGGCGTATACATCTCTTCTTGAATGGCCATGGCGACCTGGTATGTTTCCTTCGTTACCCTAGGAAGGAGTATTTTGACTGCGATTAGTGTGATTTGTGATTTCTCCTGATTTTGAATCCAACTTTTGGCGATTTAACCCTCTTCTAGGCCTAGTGCCATCGCGCTTGAGAAACCGCACCGCTGCGTGGTCCCCCTCTCCCCTCCTCAACTCACCTAGCACCCAAGTGTGTTACTAAGTGTGCAGTTGTGACAGGCCCTGCAATGGGAAACAGCAGAGTGGCGAATTGCTAAACACTTACTATGTGCCTGTGAAATCATGCATCATTCACTATGTTGCAGAGTCTCTCTTTATGCTCACTTCGTTAATACGCCATGATTTGGTTCGACAACTGCGGTGCATTCATTCGACTGTTCCATGCCTTTGGCAAACTTTCGAGAATGAACGTCATTACGAGCCGGGAGAGGATTATATGAAACGTACATGGCACGGGCTCACCTATGATTTTCGACGATGGAAGCGTCGCTATCAGGAGGTAATTACGAATGACTTGAAACTACCATTTTTGTCATCTATTTATGCTTTATTTGGTAGTAGTTACGATTCACGTTCATGTTTTTGGTTACATTGCTGCCGAAGAAAATTTGTTCGTACGCAGGAGATTGGCCATTCATGTCGCTGTCGAGCGAGTAGGATCTGTTTTAGGAAGCAGAACGCGGCGCCGCGCATCTTGCCATTAAGTTGTTGTTGCAGGAGTAGGGACTTTCGAAAAATCTTTCTCTATTTGCGAGAGCGGCATATTCTCATACACGAGTGCGGCATTGGAAGGCCATACACAACGTTTTGGGAGATTTCGCAGTATTGTTGAGTCGCTAATCTTTGAATCGCCGCGTTCTTCAGAGCGTTCACGGCTTGAGGAGATCTTCACAGCATGTTGGAGGTTGAAGAAGTGGATACTCGCTGTAAGGAGAGGCAAGCCGCGAAGGTGCGAGATCGCAGGCTTCTTGCGGAGAGGTTCGGGCTGTACGCTCTAGCGGTCTTACTTGACGGCGCTCCGCTTTGCTACACCTTGTCCAGCATGTTACTACCCCCACGTCGGCACTTACTGCGCTCTCGAATTAGCAATACAGCCGACAGCGAGAGAGCAGCGTTTCGCGTCGATAACTTCAGCAACACGATCAGACTTGGCCCAAATGCGGATAATCCAGCAGGCTTAAAGGGTTTTTTCTCGTGATTTAGATCGCTTTTTAACTTACCCTTCACCCCTGCATCACAGGCCACTTTTACCTTATTTCTAAGCTGAGCTGTCTTTCCAATCGAAGAATCCGCCCCTTTGATGGGCGTGCTTTTTACGAATACTGACCGTTTGTGGTTACGCGTATCGGTGGCATAATGTAGCAAGACTTGCCTCTCAGTCCATCTACTCGAGGTTTACGGATGATCATATGGCTGGCACTAGGACAGAAAGCGATTTTCGCTTTTCCCGGCGCAAAATTTTTCGACGAGAAGCTCAGATTTACTCCTGATCGGTGCTGGACCTGGGGTTTTCGCAGCAAAAATAGTTTTGTGCTGCGAAAAGCGGAAAAGTCGCTCTCTGTCTGAGCTAACCATACCCTATCATAATCTCGTCACGAATATGGGGACGTCGTCGCGTTCTGTCATGACGCCACATACCAAATCGCACGTATTTAGGACACCCTTCAGTTTAGAATTGGTGCAATCCTTATGGTGAAATTAGCCATCGCGCCACATGCTCACTGGTTAGGAAGCAAGTGGTTTAATCACTCAAAGCAATTCCGTCAATCAAGCCATGCTTCTAAGAATCAAGTGTTTTGATTCAACCGCTTAACTGAGTGTTGTGTGAATGTATAATGTAGTTTACTATTTGATGCAGTCTAGCTTCTCTAGATTACCAATTCTCTGCTACTGTGCATCGTTGCGCTGGACCAGTTTGTGGCTTGGTGCCAAATTAGGGAGTAGGGAGGGTATGCTGATATCTGAACACGGTTTGCGCACAATGAACGTACACTGTCACGAAATGCGATGAGTATCGATAAGACTAGCCCTTTTGGAGGGAGAAAATCAGCAGTGGTAGACAATTTTCGTTTTCTCGAAGACCGCCTCTACTCTCAGGCCTAGTCCTTGAGCCCAGACGCAAGGAGATAGTCTGAATTTGCTACATAAAATCAAGTCAAATACATGAGGTAATAACCCTAATCTGCAAAATCGCCACGTAACGGTCACTACGTACTTTACGCGTCTACTGTGTTGGAAAATCTGCATACCCCTTCTCGCCTAGATTGCACTTCTGATTTTCCCATTACAGGCACGAAGAGATGCGTTCAAACGTCGGAATCCCATTGCTCATATGAAACAATCGGTACTCGATAACGAACTGTTTCCTTATCGAGCAGAGATACTTATAATCGGTGGAGGATTAGCAGGTACGGGACTTTAGATTGCGTTTTATGTCCAGGTTCTCGATTCGCTTTCGTTGTAGGCTCATCTACAGCTTACTGGCTCAAGGAGCGCTTCCGAGATGAAGACTTCAAAGTCGTCGTGATTGAAAATAACGACAAGTACGATTAATAGTTTATTCAGTGGCTTCATTACCATTGTAAACTTATTCAGGTTTACTCAGAGCTCCACAATGCTTTCAACTGGAGGCATTTCTCAACAGTTTTCCATTCCTGAACATGTCGAAATGTCTCTTTTCACAGCTGAATTTCTTCGTCATGCTGGAGAACATCTCCGCATCCTGGGTATGTTGTCCACAGTCGTTAAAGGATATTTGTAATTTTTATCAATACGGTTTAGCTTTTCGAATGGCTCTTTTCTCGTTTGTTCAGATAATGCTCCGCCTGATATAAACTTGCTGCCGAATGGATACCTACATTTGGCTCAAAATGAAGAGCAAGCCGAGGAAATGAGGAAAAGTTGGAAAACTCAGCTGTAAGCGATAAGTGTGAGGGAATTTTTCAACATCTCACTATCCGTAGTGGATTATTTCTTCTTTTTAGTGATAAAGGAGCATGTGTAGCACTTCTATCGAAGGACCAGTTGAAAGATCGGTTCCCATTCATGGACTTCGAAGATGTTGTCCTTGGCACCTTAGGTTCGGTCAAGTGCTTTTCTTATGGCTTGATATTCACTGTGTTAGCCGATCCTTTTTTGTTTCTTTCCTATTTTTTCTTTCCAAGGTTTGGAGAACGAGGGCACCTTTGATACCTGGCAGCTGTTGTCGGCGATTCGGGAAAAGAACATTACTCTCGGTGTGCAGGTGATCTTCTTTCCTTCCCTCTTACTTTTTACCGTATTCATTCATGTCAAATGTCTTTTACAGTATATCAAGGGTGAGGTCGAGGGTTTTCAATTTGGACTAAATGTAGGGAGGGCGGAACCTCACGCAATGGAAGACCACGAGGTTGCAGATCAGGAAAAATTACGAGCTCAGAGAATTACGGGAGTACTGGTCAGCACTTCTCTAGTCCCCTTTGTTTCGGTTATTGTACTGGTTAGCGAATTTTGCTAGTTTAGGTCCGTCCACAAATGTCTGATACGTCAGCCCGACCGATACGGACTCACATGATAGTAAACGCTGCTGGTCCATGGGCAGGAAAGATTGCGGAATTGGCTGGCATAGGTATGAGATTTCTTTCATGATTCACACACTCCTGTATTTTGTTATGCGAACCAGAGGTGTATCATGCTCGTTGGTTGCAAATTACGGATTTGTCCATCAGTAGGGAGTTTGTGCAGCGGCTTTTTTGAAGAGGTACATCCTTTAGCATAGTGGAATTGTAGGCTTTTTGAAGTGATGAAGGTTGTACAAGAACGTTCCGAGATAAACAGTCGTTTCTGATGCTATATGGTGGATGTTTAGGGAAAGGACAAGGATTATTGGCTGTTCCCGTCCCCGTGCGTCCTAGAAGGCGTACGAACTTTGTTATTCATGCGCCTGACGTTCCAGTGGATATGCCATCTCTTGTTGAACCATGTGGTGTTCACTGCCGTCAAATTGATGTCGGAAATACCTTTGTTGTGGGAAGGAATCCACCAGTGGTAAGGTTTTCTTCAGTCTAATACACGAAATAATATATTAAGGAGTTCTATCACAGGAGGAAGATCGGAGAGATGAAAGTGAAT